CAAATTTAATTTCAAGCAAAATCCTAACTTTCCAGTGCTATTTTCGCAGTCTTTCCAACACAAGAATAGAATCATAGTCTACTAGACAGTACTCTAGAGATTTCATGGAGCTAATGAGAAAACGTTTAAGGGGTAGAGAGAATGCAGTCACTATACAATCGTCTATTACAGGCTCCTAATTACATGTCATGGGGAGAATAGAAGCAAGTGGATGAGTCACCTCAGCCTCTACGCCTGCGAGTTCCACTGCCTGAATGCTCTCCTCAGCGGCCTGCACGGCCGACTCCCTCCCTTCTTCCCGACCTCTGCTCACTGCCACACGATCACAGACACCTCCCTGTTCCCTGCCACCCTGTCCCTAGCACTGCAATGCTTCCTAACGCTGCCTTCTTTTTCTCCATTTTCCTTACCGCCTGACATTATGTGATACTTCCATTAGACTTATTATGATATTATACTTATTATATGACGTTACACTTATTATATTGTGTAATATTATACTTATTATATGTTATACTTATATTGTGTGATATACTTATATGATGTTATACTTTTATTATATTGGGTGATACTACACTTGCTATATGATGTTATATTTATTATATTGTGCGATATACTTATTATATAATGTTATACTTATATTGTGTGATATTATACTTATTATATGATGTTATACTTACTATATTGTGTGATATTTTACTTATATGATGTTACACTTATTATATTGTGCAATATTATACTTATTATATGTTATACTTATTATATTGTGTAATATTATACTTATATGATGTTATACTTTTATTATATTGTGCTATATTACACTTACTATATGATGTTATACTTATTAGTATACTGTGTGATATTACACTTACTATGTGATGTTATATTTATTATATTGTGCGTATTATACTTATTATATGATGTTATACTTATATTGTGTGATATACTTATTATATGATGTTATACTTACTATATTGTGTGATATTATACTTATATGATGTTATACTTATTATTTAGTGTGTTTCTCTTCCAACTCAAACCCTGCCATGTGTGTCTTTGTTCATTGATATATTTTCAACCTCTAGAGCACTGCTTGGCATTTTAAGAATACTCACTAGATATTTCTTGGATGGATAAAAGAATTGAGGCCCATACACTTAAGTTGGTTGTACATTTCAACTTCCTTTTACTAGCAGGTAATTGAGCAAACCCGCTACTAAGTGCCTTGAGCAGATTCTAAGCCCTTTGAGGGCAAAACACCATGACTTCCTTTATTCTTGTGGAATTCCTAGTGCCCAGGCCTCAGTAGGCAATTCTCAATGTTTATTAAATGAATGATATTGTCCATTCGGTCTGGAATTCATTTAATTGTTGCTATCAACTATTAAGGCACAAAATTTAAGGAAAAAGATTACGAAATATAACCTGCCAGCTCTTCCCTGACAACCAGGTGATCACACTCCACTGTGGCCCACTCAGCCAACGTACATTCATGGAACATCTACTGATTTATTCACCATTTGACCTCTTAAGGAAGCAATTTCAATAGATTTTAGCCAAAATTTACAGCAAGGAAAGAACACATTGAAATAGGCAATTTTTTCAATACATTGAAATTATAATTTGATACATATTTTCAATTAAATCTTGTTTTTCCAAAACACATCAATAACACAAGAATCGACATCCTACAGTCAAAACAACATCACTGTCTCCTGGTTATTTTAGAATTGGAACTAAAATACTCATATCTAGTTAATTTTAATGTTTTCTGAGTTAAGATACTGCTATCAATGCCTTCTGCCTTTGAAAATGACTGCCAAATCCAAACGTTTTCCAGAAAACTCTTATACACAGATCCATGCTTCTTGATTCCTTTACCGGGCACCCTGTTTGTTTATAAGTGTTTGTAACTCACATCGCATTTTGTAATTATGTGCTGATAGATCACAGATCACCTCTCCTACTAGAATAATTTCTAGTAGGGACCATATTGACACTGTCTTACTCATTACTACATTTCCAACATTTGGATGGTGTTTGGGACTTAGCAAGTACTTAATTAATATTATTATTCAACTTTTATTTCCTGAGACACAGGCTCCGTAGTCCTACACCAGGTCTGTTAAAAAAACATAAAAATTATGGATGCACCAAAAGTTCTGGAAATGGATAGTGGGGATAGTTGCACAACACGGTGAATGCACCTAGCACCACTAAACTGTACGGTTACAATGGTTATAAAGGAAAATTTTATGTTATGTATATTTTACCACAGTTTTAAATGTCAGGGACTTACGTCGTTGGTAAAGGTATGTAGGATCTTAAGGCTCCTTTTGTGTTCCCATCCTTCTTTAAACATAAGGTACCAGAGGTCAAGCCAAAGCCAGGGCATCTTTATTCTTTGAAATATCATCTCACTCATCCTATAAATGGAATAAAAATACATCAGCTGTTGTATCAGAAATGTGTATCTCTTGAGCACTCTGTTAGGTACCTGTCCTTGATGGGGGCTATTGAGGGAATGACGATGATTGCCTTGGAGGCTATGAGGCGCTCCATGCTTTATGCTCAACAGTGAAGGCATGGGCTGTTACGCATCCCATGAAGCCTCAGGAAATAATGGGTTATTTAGAGGAAGGAAGAACCCATTAGAAAACCTCCTTACTAGGTAGCCATGTGGCTCTGCTTCTGTTTCTCCAGGGCGAGTTCCCCACTCTGCCTAGGGCCTCCGTACCAGGGGTTGAGATGAAACCTGCCTCTTTTTAAGGTCCATCATTGGTCTGACCACTCCTCTGGAGTGACAGATGACAGCTGGCTGCCCTCCTCCATAAGCAAGGGCTCTCTAAGTAGCCATCTGTCACTTGACCGTCCCAGCATCTCCCTCTCATGTCCAGCCGTAGAGCAGAAAGTCCCCTACGTGATCCCCTGCAGGACCAGCTTAGACGCCGGTTCTTTAGAAAGACCTTTTCTGGCCTCTCATTCTGTAGGACACATTCTTGTTTTCTGCTCTGGTATCAACTTGATCTCTTCTTCCTGAGCAGTTAATACAATTCACAAATTTCTTTGGCCGATGCCTGCCTCCTGTGTTATGTTTTGTGTATGACTACAAAACTAGTCGGTACCTTGTGCAGTGACTGGAAGATCAGAGATGCTTAATAAACATTGGTTAAAATGAAGCGAAATGAACAGTGGATTTAAATGGACTCAGCTCAAGGCACTTCTCTGCACTGCATCCAACCAAGTCCTTGCCCTGCTCTTAACAGGTGAATAGCTGCAAGCAATTTTGGGGTACAATGGACTGTTTTAATTATTAAAACAATACCTACCCAGTGCAGAAAATATGGAAAAGAAGAATAACAATAAAAGGAAAGCACAGGAATGAGAAACACACACACGACAATGATAAACACGGCTAACATTCTGTCATAATATCTGCTAGGTTTTTCTTTATAATTTTTAAATATAACGATTATCATAGAACAGAACACTTTTTAATCTTTCTTTTCTCAGTGTCCTAATGTAAGCATCATTATGTACAATATAATGTAATCTCAATGTCAGAGAATAATCCTTCTAAATTACTGCATCATCTAATGTGCCATAATTTATATAACCTTTCCTCTACTGCTTAAACACATGCTTACATGATGAGGTTAGCTTCTAGTTTCATGTTTAATTCTGAAACCACAAAAAGATATAACATAGATAACACAGACAGAAATTGTTGGCAATGTTTTTTAAAGCCCGAATCAATAATAATTTTTAAAATAACTGAAAGGACGTCGTTTACCTATAAACTGCACGGACATACTCGGAATCATCATCACTTTGAGCACCAATATTCTTCCCCATGGCTGTTTCTATAAAACACAGTGAGAAGGAACCATTCAATTCATGCACGTTAGTTATCTTGTTTTTGTTCTGGACTGGCAGACACAAAAGACGTACATCCCGCTTTGTCCTTATAGATTCCAGAATTCTTCTTCCTCCCTTTACTGTCTTCTCTGGCTCTGTCCACTTCTACTCCCTGCTCCTGTTCTTCCTTCCCTTTGCCTTCCTGGGCAGCTGCTCCGTGCCCATCCCCCTCACATCCCTGGGCATGGCTCCTGCTCCTCGGAAGGCTGACACAGCAGCAGAACTGTGCCGAAGAGCCCACTGCCCTTCCAGGTCCTCCGTCTGCCTTCCCGATGGAGTGTGATTTCCTATTTGGGCCATTTCCTCTTTACGCCATAAATTTAGAAATAAATCAATGAGACTCACCACAGATGATATCTAAGGCACAAAGAGTGATGTAAAAAAAGCAGTTAAATGCTTCTTGGTTAACATGTTTTTCAAGTTTCTTAACCAATATATTTGCTTGTTCATTCATGATATCTAAGAAATCTTCCAGAATGGTGAAATGGAAAGTGGGCGTTAACATCTTTCTCCTGGAACGCCATTTGTTTCCTGTACTAGAAATAAAATATGTGGTTACAAAAAAAAAAAAAAAATAGAAAGAGAAAATTACATCCAAAACAATTAAAGCATAAATATAGCAAGTCAACAAAATTCTCCTGAAATAGCTTAACCTACAGGTCCTCAAATGCTTTTGGCAGGATGACAAAGACATATACATATCTGTAAAATATTCATCTATAGTTACAAAATATGAATATTATGGACATTGTTCTATAACACTGTTTAAAGTGAAAACTGTAAGAATTTCTCTCCATTTCTATGTTCCGAGTTTCTAATAATGATTTTTTCTCCTCCCGTCAATACCTCAGTCCTCAGATGACCCTCACACCCCAGGGTTCTACCTTGATCTCTCCCCTGTTCCAGTTCTCCAAAGTCCCTTCAAGGCTCCTGCCTGGCCCTTGGGGGTCCCTTTCTCAGAGGGTGGAGTCCCGGTTCTGGATACCAGCTCACCAGACTTCTCTGGAGCTATCCTTTTGGTGGATTTTTAGGATTTCCCTCCTCCACACACTCCTTTGCTTTACTGTGACCTCCAACCTGTCACCTCCTAAGTCTTCCTGAACACTGGTGACCGCCACTGTTGAACACCACAGCTGGAGATAACCGTTCACCTGGACCCTTGGCCTCTTCTCCTCCTTTCTGAGAGCACAGCCTTGCTACAGAAAAAGCTACCCTATGTCAATTCCTGAAATAACAAGTTGCACACTGAAGTAACTATTTCTGCAGACAGTTTCACGAAGGTACGCTGACATACCTTGTAAGAAGTCCTAGGCCAAGCCATGGTTCTAAAAACTTGTACATAGAAGATTTGTCAATTTGCTTTGAACTAGTCAAAATTACCTTGGAAGAGAAAAACATATTTTAGAGACATCCAGACATCAAAAGACCTTCCTATAATGGTAGGAATACCTGGCTAGAGTACAGCTAGTTTTTAGGACATTTCACCACATTGACTTTCTCTGTGGTTGATTTCCAGTTGTGTGACTCAAAGACATTCGATTCGGGTTCTGAACATAGAACCTGCATTCACTCTTGGGGACTCAATGGAGTTGAGGGAGAGCAAGATGTCCCAGTGATGCTCTGGTTCCTGCCGTAGACCAGGAGCCGAGTGAAGTTATTTAATGGGTGGAGGGAGGGAGCGAGGTGGAGGGTGAGCACATCTCGGGAGATGGAAATCATGGGTGCATTTTCAAGTCAGGCTGACTTTGAAGCATCCAGGTTGCTGTGGTCTGAAAGCAGGTGAGATGCCCATTATAAGACCTGAGTAGGAGATGCCTATCTGAGTGTCTCAGCATAGAGGCAGCAATGGACGGTGTGAGTGTGATCAGATCACCCAGGGTCTGTGTGAAGTGGGAGGAGGGATGGGGGCTGGGGCTGAGCACAGGGTGCTCACTGGGCTTCTTGCTGAAGTCCCCTACCCTGGACAGACCGCCATCTGCACCCACCACACCAGCTTCTGTTAACACTAGGCCAGCAGTGGCTGGAGTCCTGGGCCCGCCCTCCTCACGCTCTCCTCTGAGCCAGGATTCTGGAGAAGCATGAGAAACTGCAACATTTTCACCGTAAGTAGAAAGACGTATCCTGCTGACACCACTTCCTAGGAATTCTGGTTTTAATTTTGGTAAACAAAGAGAAGCTCTGTTTATCCCATTCTTGTTGCCTGCCCCAAATCCTTTCCTCACTGTACCACGAGATGATTTCCCCAGACTTTCCAATAAGTAAAAGGACTACAGATTTTCGGAGGACTCATTTCAACAGCATGGGTTTGTAATATTTATCCCATAAATATCAAATTTTCATTCTCTTTTAAATTTGGAATAAGGTTATCATTGATATAATGTGAGACCCTGAGGAGCTTGAGGGAAACATACTTTACTAGTCAAGTATTTTTGAAGTCTTAAAATAGTGTCAGGTGGATAACAAGGGCTCACCTTGTGGAATAATTTATGTTTCTGAAAAGCTATATCCTTCTGCAGGCTTTCCAATATTGGAACCTGGTAATAAATGTGCACTTTTATCTGGAGGGTGTTAATCTCCCAGGATTCAGACTACATCTGGAAAGCATTAAATCGCACCTGTATAGCCTAAAATACTTAATGGAGTGTCTTTTGCACTGAAATGGCTGAAATATAAGGACGCATTATATCGATTCTGAAGAGATTCTCACGCTGTCAGACACGCGGTGCAATACTGACCATATTCGCAACACCCACCTCCACATTCTCTGCGTTGTAAAGGGCCACCATGGGCACTGGCCCGACCCAGAGCTTCAGCAGCGGCATGTGGCGGTATTCTTCTGTGTACTGAATTATCTGCTGAAAAAATTCTGGGAGAAAAATATCAGACTTTAAATTCAATCAAGATGATAATTTTATGACGAGTATTGAACAAACGTTTGCTTTCTCATTTTGATAAATATACTAAGTCTGTAATGTGTCACTGTTAGAGGAAGCCAGGTAGAGAGTATGTGTGAACTCTCCGTAATATTATTGCAACTCTCCTGTAGGTCTAAAGTTTTTTTTCAAAATAGTATTTGCCACAGTAAATAAACATACATAATGCATGTTAGCAATCATAGAATAATTATTATTATGAGGTTTTGATGTCCCAGAAAGGGCACTCTTTCTAACGACTGCCCAGTATCACAGAGCTAGTAAACGGTGGAGCCTGGCTTGTACCGAGACTCCAGAACACATCCCTTCACCATTACACTATGCTGCTTCCAAATGTCTCTGGGATGAAGCAGTTGTCAAAATTGCTATGAAAGTAGCAGGGTCAGATCCTCAGCGTCAATCATCCTGCGTCATGCTAATATACTGCGTGCCCTGGTCTGGTCTGACAGAGGGGACAGGGAGGTCTCAATCTGTGGTTCGAAGGCAGCAGGGCCAACGGCTAGGAGCAGCTGGGGAAGGCAGACGTTGCCACAATGAACTGGAAAAGGCGAGATTGGCGTTTAGAGGCCATTTGGGAGCCAACTGCAGTCTTCAAAGTGAGATGGCTGAGGGCAGCATTTGGACATCAGCCACAAAACGAAAGGCAAAACCTCTTGTGTGTGAAAGACAAGATTGTTGGGAACAAGGACTATATCTTAGAATGTCCTTCTGATGTCCCCAACTTTGCTGAGGTCAACACTGGGCACCAAGCAGGGCCTCAACAGATGCTTGATTGACAACAAAAGAGCTTGTTTTAACTGAGTTCTAGACAGGGATCTAGAAACTCCGCATGCAATAAATTTAATCCTTAAAGTAACTCTGTAATATAGCCGCTTTTACAAATAGAGGGGGAGAAAACCCTGTAAGTTAAAGAGTTTTACATAATTTCTCAAACAACTTGGTTATAGGGCTGGAAATTGAACAGTGGCTTTCCTGATACCAAAATCCAGAATTTGTTGGTGGAATAAAAAGTCCCTTTGTAAAAGACAGTATTTGTCATTGTCTTCACTCTGAAGGTGACTGCAAGGAAAATTACTTCAAATCGTCCAATCAGCTCACAGATCGTTTTGAAATAGGTCTTAATTCACTAGTGATTTTAATTATTGAAATCCCCAAAAGAATATGATGAGACTTAAGTATATTACTTTCCAGGGGTAAGGGATGGGGTAAAATCTATATTTTTGTACAATTATTTTTTTAATGCCGTAAGGCCTTGGGACAAAAGGGGTGGTTAGTTCTGCTTTTAGAATTAACTGAGATGATTTTTACCAATGTGATTTTCGTATCTGTGTTGTTGTATTACTTGTTACATCAGTCATCATGATATTTGGTTGGAAAAGAGTTTGCTTGGTTTTTTCTGTCAAAATATTTTTAATATTTTAGTAAACACTCTTCCATGTGGCCTCATCTTATTCTTGTGAAGTTGAAATGACAGCATTATTTTTGTTAGAGAAAACAGAAGTGAAAATGAGAAAAAGTCTTTAAAGCTTTGGAGTTAATGCTCAGCCTGTAAAATTATTACTAACAACCCCAGAGGGAACTGGGTTCTGGTCCGGGCCCATTTTAAACGACGTCATTTTGGGCAAACCTTTTCAGTTCTGGGTATCTCAAGTTACCCCCTGATGAAGGTGAGGTGCTGAGATCGAGTTCACCCTCCCGGATGCAGGGCTGTGCATACCAAGCACTTTTGAGAGCTTTCTAACTTAAAGTGATTTTTTCTCCACCAACATAATGTCGGTCTCTTTTTATAATAAAAGATGACTTTAATTTTAAAAAAAGCAATTCACTGTTTAATAAATAAGGGGTTTGAAACCCTCCTTAGAAGTTTGCCTGAGGACCCTGCCATCCGTTTCCCAGCTGTTACCACGCCACCTCCTCTAAAGGGCTAACGTCTGAAGGCCAAGCGGGAGGTGGGGTAGGTCGAGTCCTGCGGTGCTGGGGGACGCCTCCAGTGAACCCCAGTCTCTTATTTTCTGAAGCGGAGCGAGAGGGGCGGCTCTAAGCATGAAGGCGTTTGCCAGCTTTAAAGCGCTGTGTGCTTCCTGGCGCTTCTGTTCTCAGGCTTCCCAAGCCCAGGCGGGAGGAGGCAGAGGGCTTTGGGAGCTGAGCGGCGGTGACGGGGGCAGAGACCCAGGGCGGGGGTTTGGAAACACCGTGTCCGGTGCTAGCGCAGAGAAAACGCCGGCTCCGGGATGGGGCGCTCGCAGTGTCGGCGGGCGCCCGGGGGCGGTGGGTAGAACTGGGAGGCACTGGGTAGAACTGGGGGGCACTAGGCAGAACCGGGGGGCACTGGGTAGAACTGGGGG